CAACCTTAATAGGACAGTTTAATAGGACAGTACACGTCATGCCTAAGTAATTAGGGACCTTACGATCCGACAACGGTGACTTCCATGAAAACGTCGCTGAAAAATAGACTTTGCATCCTTTCGCTTTTTTTCGCAATTATTTCAAGGGGCCCAGTTACTAAAAGAAGGGAATTTGGGTTGGAGCTGAAGAGAAGGAACCGCGCCCGAGTTCTGACAGAGATGGTAGAATTTATTGCCTTGCCGTTCCCGTTCCCAAGTAAACTTAAAATTTGGTCATTTCACGTCGTAGTTATGCAGGGACGGCAAAGAAATGTACAAAGTTTTGATTTTAAAAAGAGCCTTATATATCACAAATTTTGTTAAAGTTATGATTAATTGGTAACAGAACTTCGTGTCGTCCAATTCGGTCTGTAATCATACTCATGATTAAACAAATCCGACTCCCGCTACGCGGTCGTCCGATTTTGTTAATCACTCGTATGATTGCAGAATGAACTGGACTCCACTCAGTCCTGTTACCATTACTATATACGAGTAATCGCGGTCGAGTTTGCCTTTATTCTCCCAAAATGAGACCGCGATTTCTTGCATTCGCAAATTTTATCACTCATTTGCGCTCTAAAAAAATGTGATGGCATTTGTCCTTCCTAAATTTTCTTGTTCCGTTGCTATTTTTGAATGTTCTTCTTAACCTCAGCTATGATCATACAAAAATTTGCGTTTGTCCGATCGATCCTCTGATGGTAGTAAAACAGAGAGCGAACTTCGTTTTACTAGGCCTCATTATTCCGCGCGGCCAAAGCGTTTCGGGACACGTGGTGTTTCTAGCCCGTTCGCCTCGGATGCGTCACCGTAGTGAATTGACCGAGAAGGACTGGAAAAATACCGTACAGGGACTAGGCAAGGATCAGGGAGCCCGGAATCGGGGATCGAAGCTGAGGGATCAAAATCCAGGGATCGGGGAATCGAAACTATGGGATCAGGGATCAGAGGCAAAATTTCGGGATCAATACCCCTTTGGACCTATCCTCGAGTGAAGATGAGAGGACCTCAAATCCTAAGAAGGGACAGGTTTAAACTGGCAGCGCAACTCTATAAAACTGGAACTATTGGTTGAATATAGAAAGGTTTAGTATTAAAACGTTTTATTATTCATTCAAAATATTTCCCCGATTCTGATTGGCTAAAAGCACACGTTAAATTCACCATAACCAGTTACTGATGACCAAATTTGGAAGAATTTTAACTTTAACGAGGAAATGACGTCAAAAATGCAGCGTTTTCGCAGTTTAAGGCACCGTTAACCGAGAAGACCTGGTTACGAGGTTGAGTTGTTTTGGTTGTGAACTTGAAAAAATGGCGGACATTTCACTCATTTCAAGAGTAACAACTAGGCGAAAAAATAGCTAAAAACATGGCAAGAACAGCGAGAAGACAACTCGAAGGGCGACATCTGCTATTTGGAGAATATTTGCGGAGCTGGACAAACTTAAACGTACACTATCGAAGATGAACTGAACATCGATGGATCAATGGAGGTAAGCATGTTTTAGCTATGTTTTTAAACTTGGAATTATTTTGAATGAATAATAAAACAGCTATTGAATTCGGCTTTCGTATCATATGAAGAATTATGGAGATCTCGGAGGGTGTTATCCACCTCGGCCTACGGCCTCGACGGATAACACCCTCCTCGATCTCCATAATTCTTCATAAGATACTTCAGCCTCATTCATTAACTGTTAATTATTTTTTACTTCAGCAACTAGTCGGTCAGGCGCAGTGTTCATCGCGTGCCATTTTTTGTCTCTGTGGTTACTTTGTACTAACACAGGAGCGGATCCTCACCAGTTTCCACCGTTTTACGAAAATCGGTCAAATTTTTCATAAATAAATACATTTGTAATGAAAAAAAACTTTCCAAGTAGAAATCAGGCTACTATCGCCATTCTCACCGACCAATGAGGTGTCGTCCTTTAAGAACTTGGCATAGATTCACACGAGGAGCCGCAAGCGGTGATATTTTTGCACGGCATCTGGCGGCACATCAAAGAATTTGGAATTGAAGGGCAAATTCCTAGAATATCTTCGCCAGTTAAGCTAGAGAAAAGGTGTTAAAAAACCTCAGGATCCTAAACAACATGTCAATCAAAATATCACTTGGACCTTTTCGCTAATGAAGAACTATCACGCGGCTAAGCTTGAATTAGACATATATTGAAATAGGAACTCGTGTCAATAAAGTATCAGAAGTGAGTGGGAATC